GGCTTTGTATTGATTTGAGTTTATATCGGTTTAAATTTATATTAGTTCAAATATAATGTAAACACATACTAATAAATGAATAATATCACATAACAAATCTAGTTAATTTATGACATACTTCGTAGTTATTTTACTCCGTATTATTGAAGACGGACGTACATAAAAAATAAACACTTATATAATTGACTAATTGTTTCTAAAGTTTTCCCTCTTAAAGTTTTCGGCGCAACCTTTGTAGTTAATATTTTACTTCGACTTCCTAAATTTCTATTAAACTATTCATTTCATTTTGCGTTTCAAATATTAGAATAACTATATATAAAAATAATTCTTCCTCAGCCGCCGAGTATTTGTTTACTTTTGACTTTTTTGGTCAAAATTAGTAAATTTTGACTTCAAACTAAATAAAAATGATATTAGATACTTATAAAAAAAGAGTTTTATTAGATTTATTATATCAAATATTTTTAAAATATTATATTATCTATTTAATTTAATTATAGGTTAAATATTGACTGAAAAAATAAAAAATGGAAAAATATTTAAGGACGGAGGTAGTATTATAATGAATTAAAATATACATAGTACTCCCTCCGACCCTAAATAAACTTTCTCTTTCGTTTTTTCTTTATCTCCAAATAAACTTCTCTTTTTCCTTAAAAAACCCTTTTATCTCTTACATTTTCATACCCTACCTATCACATCATACCTTTTTACTAATAATCTACCTATCACATCCTACTTTTACACATCACATCAAGGGTATTTTTGGAAAGTCAACACAAAAATATCTCTCCCTTAAATCTTCAAAAAGTCAAAAATGGAAGTTTAATTAGGGACGGAGGGAATATTTAATGAATTGTGGCAGTGCTCTTTGGACAACTACTGAAAAATGAAGATTGTATTGAGTATTCTACCATTAGATGGACTTTTGTATTTTATTTTAATATTTGGATAACAATTTGGTTCTAAATTGTCACTAGAATGTTGTATTTTGTTTGTTGGATAGTGTATCCACGAAAATCAAGATTTGTGCTTTAAAAAAGCTCTTTAAGATGGTTCAATATTTTTTTACTCATTCATAATTTTTGGAGAAGAAATCTTTTATTTAGCTTATAATAGGTAATGTCAGTTAGATTGTTTTATTCATTTACATAATCATAAGTTTTTACCACGTGATTGTGACACCTTTCTTCATTTTTATGCTCAAGTATTTTTTATAGTGTGTTAATTGGCATATTAAAAAAAGAAAATCAACTTTGGTAACATAATTCTTTACATAAAATATGTATTACAATGTAACTATAATTTTTATATACTTTCTATAAAATTACAAATATATTTTAACTTAGGTTATAAAATATGGAGTACAAAATAAAAGATTTGTACATGAAAGTAGTTACATGGTTTGCACTCATAATTTAAATATGTTTTTTTAGAAAAATATCAACATATGTAAAAATATATAGGTAATTCTTTTTTTTCAAATTCATTTGATAAATGAAATATTAATGAATTTGATGAATTTCGAGTCTAATCGGTTTCGGGTCTAATCGGTTCCAGGTCTAATCGGTTCCGGGTTTAACCGGGTTCGGGTTTAATCGGGTTCGGGTTTAATCGGTTCGGGTTTAATCGAATTCGGGTCTGAATCGGGTCTGAATACATTCGGTTCGGGTTCGGTTCGGTTCGGATCATTTCGGGTGTTCGGTTCTATTTCGGTTCTTCAGTTTTCGGGTCAAATCGGGTTCGGTTCGGGTTATCGGGTCCGGGTCAGTTTTGCCAGGTCTAATTATAAGCATAGCCTTACAAAGTGTTCGTGCAATAAGCCCTTCATGCTTAAGGGGCTGTTTGTTTCAACCTCTTAATGGTTCAGATGTCTGAATGGTTCAGCACTTAATGGTTCAGACTGTTTGTTTCAGCCTCTTAATGGTTCAGATGTCTGAATGATTAAGAGATTTGCCTCTGAATGGTTAAGTATTATACAGAGTCTGAATGGTTAAGACCTCTTATCTGAATTGATCAGACATTTGCCTCTGAATAGTTAAGTAATATACTAGCTCTTAATGGTTCAGACCTCTTACTGGTTCAGCACTTAATGGTTCAGACCTCTTACTGGTTCAGCACTTACCGATTCAGAAGTTGCCAAACAGCCCCTAAGTCTTAGCATCTTAACGACTTAACATTTTTCACGAACAATTAGTGGGACGACTTAGGATGCCAAGTTTCCTTGTAGCGGCGATTTATGTATGGATTTTAATGTTCTAATATGTCGCATTGCTTGATAATGATGATAAATGTATACATTCTGGTGATAAATTTTTTGGGTTACATTTATCTTTCTCTTGAATGTTAAATGTGTTCTTTATCATGCAAACATAAGCATTTGTGGAATCAATATTAAAAGGAAAAATTACCCAAAATAATCCCAACTTTACCCGGTCTTTCAAAAATAATTCCATCTTTCACTGTGATGCATAATAATCCCAACTTTATTGAAATTTGCCAATTTTGAGTCGCCGTTAAGTTTCTAACTAAAACAATACAAATTAATCAAATAAATGTAATCAATAGAAATTAAACAGAAACTGGTAAGAAATAAAATAAATATATACGAAGTGGTGGGTTTTAACATTTTACACATTATACGAAGTCTTAATATACTACTTATTTTTTAAAAAAACAAGCCGTCCGGTAAAATTGGAATTATTGTAGATAATTGTTTCTAAAAAATAAGTAGTGATATGTTAATACTTTGTATAATACGTAAAATATTAAAACCCACCCGTATATTTTTATTTTACTCTTACCAATTTCAAGTTAGTTTCCATTGATTACCTTATTTATTTTATTATTTTTGTATCATTTTAGTTACATTTCTCATTTTTTCATTTTTTATATCTATTATTTTTATTTTTTAAAATAAGACTAATCTTTAAAAAAGGAAAAAGAAATGATGATGGAGGTAGAAAGTAATTTAAAAAATTTAAATAAAAAATGAAAAAAATGAAAAAAATGAAAATTCATCAAAAATAATTCCAACTTTCATTTTGTTACCCAAAACGGGCATTTCCGTTAACCCTCCGTTAGAAACTTAACGGCGACCCAAAATTGGCAAATTTCAGTAAAGTTGGGATTATTATGCATCACAGTGAAAGGTGGGATTATTTTTGAAAGACCAGGTAAAGTTGGGATTATTTTGGGTAATTTTTCCATATTAAAAAAAAGCAAATTCTTATATGAACCTTATGTTAGTGCGATCTCTCTAAGTCTTAAATACTCCGTATTTTATTTTATTTTTCTATTAAATTAAACATCTTTTTTCCGTTAAAAAAATTCTTAAATGGATCACATTATTTTTCTCACTTCTACATGAATCTAAATCACAATTTAAATTTTCTTGAGCTCTTTAATTAGCACTCTGGAAAACAACTTTTTTTAGATATATAGAATAAAAGCTAACTAGAAGTTGGTCCTAAAAAAATTTCATCCAAAAAACACATTGAGAACTCTAAATGTCTTTAGACGGACACATGAAGAGATCACCAAGACACGACAAACGCTATGTTCTACATGCTTGAACCACAAGAATAACATAATGCCACCAATATCATATAAGAAATGACAACCAGTCTAGATTAAAGATTTTCTTCTTGTGGAAGGTCTTGAGTTCGAGTCACCTACCAACAAAAAGGGGTTACTTTCTCCTATTTATGAATTAGAGAGCTAGACTTCATTTTCTTAGGAATCACTAGTACCAAGTTAGAGACCCACTCTAAAGAATCTCAATCCTAATTGAGGCATGACCAAACAAATACAACCAAGCCAAAGGTCGGAGTTTCTTGTGGTGGAGCCGCAATGCAGTGGACCAGCTAGTATAAAAGGTTTTCCTTCCAAAGGTTTTAATCAAATATTAAGTACAAATTTCATTCTTTACCATCAATTTGTGATCAAAGTATAATTTGTCTTCTCTTAGTGACCGTCCAGAAGAGTGTGACCTTGAGGACGGGGCTCATCCTTTTTGGGGGAAGAAACACTAGCTTAACCATGACATCACTTTAGATTAATTCAAAGTTATGCAAAAAAAATTACAATTGACCACCCTAAGAAAAGTAATTATTACTATAAAAAAAGAGATAGGCACACGCTAGGTGCAAATGGTAAAAAGTTATAGTGCAACTTATTTCCATCTCTTCGACATTTCAAGCTTAGTGTTGGAGAATTCCCCATTCTAAGAATGAATAGTGCTCAATATTTAAGAAATTTGTGCACCAAAGAGGGCCAATCTATTTGGAAATGTATTTGTCTACTGTTAGAATCCCATGTCAAAAGTGGAAGCTTTCAAATATTCTACTACAACACACTCTTAAGATTTCATACTCTGCATTATTTATAGTTTATATTATTTCTTTAATCAAAACATTTTATGAAGTAATCTTACACATTTTTTCATTGATAGTGGACGAATTGAGAGACACGCATCCACTTCAAAATAGAAGTGGCTGTCGCGCTCAAAATGTTGAACAAGTATTTTATAAAATACTTTGATTTAAAAAAAATTAAAATACTTTAATAGAATATGAAAGCTTATATGTGCGTCGTGTTATATTTGAAAGCTTCGACTTTCAACATATACTTCCCCGAACAGATAGACCTCCGTGGTTCACATATTCATGAAATATCCAGTAGTACTACGCCATGCAAGATCTAATAAAGGAGACTATGAGCCACACAGTGTCGGCACATTTCCAGCATCCATCTTAGAATGAATAGCCTTATAGCAATTGAGACTGCATAGTGGGAGCTTCGACTTGGAGTCACGATATTTGTATGGGTTCAAACAGGAAGGCCCCGCACATTTTTCACGAGGGGCTGGATAACTGAAATGACACAACAAATCCGTAAGATATTTTATACTATTGATTTTTCATCATTTTTAATAGTTTTGTGTTTACATTGGGCGTTTATTTAGTTTTACCTGCAGGGTTTGGATTCAAATATAGGGGGGAACCCCATCTCTATGGGAAATGTCACCACCGTCCCTGTAGGCCTCATGACGATTCTGACAGTTTCTGATGCAAGCACTTGATGTTTAGCTGCCTTCTCCTACAGAGATAGTTGAATGGATCGCAAAATTCATCAAGGCGGCAATCAATGCTTCATAACAATATATTCACCAATCAATACACACACAGTACCTGAGCCAACTCTTCTTGGCGCTTCTTCGCTCTGTCTTCTTTCTTTTTTCTATTTGAATCTTGACCAAGTATTTTCCTAATTGCCTCGGCCTAAGTTCATTATGATGACAGAAATGGCTCACTTGGTCAAAATCCTAAAAACATGAGAGACTAATGATTAAACAAACAAACATTCAAAGGGGAAAACCTCAGATTCTCGAGCTGCCTTCTCATTTTGCATTTTACGCCTGTGAGCAGCCTCGGTTTTCTTCAGTTGCTGTTCCACCTCTGTGAGTTTCTCTTTTTGTTCTTTAGCAGCCAAAGCAGTGCAGATATGATTAAGAAATAAAGCACTTAGACAAATACTTTTTTTCATTAAATACACTTCTATAAAAGTTGCCCTAGAATGCACTGTTAAAAGGAAATAGGTAAAAACAGCATACTCACTTCGAGATGGAGGTGGGGGCAAACCATTAGGGAACTCAACCTCATTCACACCAGCAGATGGCTCCTTGCTTGAGAGAAGAGCTCGTTGACGTGTTGTAAGAGCTAATTCCCTCTTGGATTCCATCACTATATCAGGTGGGGAGTCCCTTCTTTGTTTCTGTCTCCTTTTCCCTTCACAATCCCCATCAGACAACAACATTTCCTCCTCTTCATACTCAGTGTCTTCAGAACCTTTATCGGACCTCTTCTTACCATCTTTGGCCAACTTCCCAATCTCTCCGACACTTTTAGAAACCTGAGAAAGACTCCGATGTTTATTGGAGTTTTCCTCCTCAAAATCTTTGAGGCCAAAAGCTTTTGATGTTTTTAGCTTTTCCAGATACCTAATCTCATCATCTTCATCGTCTTCATCAAATGCCCCATCCAAAACACGCCTCTTCGGGACTCGTTTGCTCTTCCTCACAGAATCTGACTTTTCAGCTGAGCTCTTGTTTGACATCTTCCTGATACCCTCCTTGCCAGAATCAACACCCCTAGACAAAGCTTTCGGTGGATAATGGATTTTCGTATCCGAGAGGATTTGACCCTCTCCTGGATTTTCCTGAGATTGAAATCAAATGTTCAGATGAATAAAATAAATCTGCAGTGCACTAAAAGGCAAAAAATATGTAATGACATCTAGTAGTGCAAAATAAATGCAAAAGGTTTAATCAGTATACGAAAATATTTCAATTATCTATCTCCTCTTTAGTGAAATGACCCCATATTGGCCTACAACTAAAAACGAAACAATTGGATATTTGCCTCATTCAAATCATTGAAATATTTGTGTTTAACTAGAAATTTAATATTAAATTGTATTCCCTTCGCCACTAGAACTGAAGGAAGCGAAATACAATTTCATGTGACACATAATCTAAATTCTTTCACCTCCTTCCGACTTCAAAGTATGTGTTAAAAATGGCGTAGATTGGTTTTATAATAAAAAATTACTCTTCCATATGAATTACTTGATAAGGACATCTAAACCTGAAGGGTAAATTTCTGCCGTGGCCGAGGGGCATCATGAGGTCGAAAACTCTTTGTAGAAGATCCAATGTCATATGTACCATGGGGATTGCTTTTAGCTTGAATAGTACATGTTACCCCACCGAGCTTCAGCTTAACTTTCTTGAGCTTGTTGTCATTTCCTACACCATTCTGAATTGCTCCCAAATGTCCAGTAGGACTCAGGTGGTGGTAGGTATCATCTCCCGGTCCACTATTGCTGTATGGCACTCTAGATTCCATATCATCCTTAACCCTCTTGTTTGGATAATCAGTTTCAGCTATAGTAGCAGGAGATCCCCTTGATATACACTGGTTAAGGCTGAAAATCTTCCCTCCAGAACTAACATCAGTTTCCTCACTGGAGACCCTTCCGGGCTCATAAGAAATTGGTGTTGATGGATCATAACTTTCTGTAAACAGCTGTATCTCAGGCCTAGGTCGCCGAGGAATGCTGCTTCTCCTCTTCCTTATTGTAGCACTAGGAACAGGAGCTTCAATAAGAGTGCCACCAGGTTCATCCATGAAGTCTTAAGTGAAAAGGTTAGAGTTATGCAATGGATTAACTTCTCTCCTATGGCATTGACTCAGACACTCCAAGATGCAACCACCTACAAAACCCTATATAAATCATTATGTAATGGATTCACATCAGAATGAAGAAAAGTGAGGCGGTAAGACTTGAGAGCAAATCTCGCATTGGCCTTCTTAAAGCATAATTTGAATAATTCTACATATTGTAAAAAAAGTTTAGAAAAGAATTACAAGTTTAAGCACAACAATTCAGCAAGGAAAGCCATACCAAAAGCAATAATAGAATCAATCAAAAAATAAGCTTGGGGCCACAAAAGGGAAACATGGAAATAAGAAGGGAGCAGCGAATTCAACCACCACAGCTGACACAAGAAATCAAAGCAAGAAGTGTACTAATTAGCTAGCCCCAGACCTTGGCCTAAACCAGAAAAGGGGAGAAATTTCTCAACATAACCCAAGCACATCATTCGATTAGAACAAGCACACGGAACAAAAAAGCTCAAATCATCAAAAAAAAACTTCAATTGGCAGAAATGCAGAATGCAATGATAAGAAGCAGGGCGACATGTGAAGAACAAAACACACACCTTTGCAAGATTAACCGATGAACCGAATTGGCAATCAGCACGGAAGAAACAAAGAACGCGACTGCGAATTGGGAAGGCCCAGAAGAAGAAGATTGGGCGCGCGGATAGAATGGAATTGACGGAGAGAGCGAGCAAGAGAGAGGGAGAGAGAGCCTTGACGCGATAAAGAGAGATGGCGGAGGCGATGATGATGATGATGAAGACGAGAGGAAGATGAAGGGTTTAGATTGGGGGGAAAGTTTCTAGGGTTAGAGCTTGGGTGATGGGTGTGTGGGTCTATACAAGTTGTGGTGGTGGTGGTGGTGGTAAAGGAAAAGAAGACTTTGGAGAATATCTTCACCATTTCTTCTTTCTCTTCTTAATTCACCCTGGAGCTTCTGTTTTCTTTTTTTTTTTGGATCGCAGATTTAGATGACCCGGCTCTCTGAATTGATAACTCGACCCGCCCCTTTTTTTCTCCCCCTTCCTCGTTTCTTCTCTCCCTTCTGTTTTCCCTCCACTGCAACTCTTTTGCTCCCTGGCCCTCTTCCTGTTTACCTTTTCACTCTAATTTTAATTTAATTTATTTAAAAATTAATACAAGCATAAAACATTCAAAAATGATACTTGTAGAGTATATATATATATATATATTATATTTTAAAAAATTGCAAAAGAGGATGTGACAAAATTGTACCTTTATGAAAGGTTTTATGGTGAACTTAAAGTCTACATTGATTTTCTCATACAATTTTTTTACTCCGTAATATTTCTATTTTTTGAATAGTGCTTATCTTGGTACTTAGTAAATGATTATTTAGGGTATAAGAAGATTTACCAAAGATAATGCTCCCTCCATTCATAATTTAATTACAAGGTAAAATCTCATGATTTTTGAAATTATTTTATTTACAAATTGATACACCAATAAAAAAAAAGATTAGTTCTTAGAGCAAAGAGCAACCGAGCAAGATATTGATAATATATCAAAATAAGCTTATTGCTCAAAAGATTGTTCTGTCTTCTAATCTAGCAAGAGAATCAAAAGCTTTTTAAATTTATGAGCTGATGGGCCGAAACCCAGTGGGCGGCCCAACTGAACCATTTACACCACTTCGGGTCAGACACTCGGAGAATACCCAGGTCTGGGCCGGCCCATGGAGCCAGGCCCGGTTGACTTTAGACCAAACATAGCTGGCAGAGCCGGTTACGGAAAAGGAGACGGAGCAAATTGGCCGTTACAGAGCCGGAAAAAGGGGATCGCGCCCTTAACGGGATAGGCTCCATCGATTATGCGTTACCCTTAAGTGCATGTAGCTCAGGTATAAATAGATGAGACCCAAAAGGAGGAAATTCAAGCTAGATCAAGCTAATAATACATACCCAATTCTCGAATTCTCGTTCTGAATTTTGTTCTTACGATCCGCTTCGTGAATCGGATCATTTGGTGGATTTATTGTCCATCATGAGCCATATACTATTGCTCAACCAGCCACCCCAATATAAAAAATCAACAATGGTCAATCCACCCGCAACCTATCATTGTCGATATGTCCCTACCGTTATCGATATCGTGTTATTACCATCTTTTGTTGTCTCTTAAATCATTGTTGATGTCCTTCTCCACCTCTGCAGTGTTATTACGTCACTAATGTAATTTTTTTGAAAAATCTAGAAGAATTCCAATATAGTGTGTATACTACCTTTTCATAGATACACATAGACAGTGAGTGTCTATATGTACACTGACAAATTTTGTTTTTGTTTTAAAAAAATCTAAAAGTATTCCAAAGTAGTGTATGCCAAATTGGGCACTTAGGGCACAATTGGGTACACTTAGAAAATCCTTTTGTTTGTTTTTCCGCACCCCTTTGCATTTTTGAATCTTAAAAGCTTATAAGTTACTCCGTATAACGCAGTATTTTAGATCGATAAAAACTCGAGGACATCTCTCAGTTAAACCAAAAGCGGTGGCAACATCTGATCTTCCAGCTGCGGTCTGCAACGCGCATTGAAGCCAGCTTGTTCTCGGAGCCTTGAATTATCTGTTCCTAGCGAGTCATGTTTAGGGTTTATTCAGACAAGACTCTCCAATCGCGATTTTAGGGTTTCATCAGATTTCTAGCTGGTCTGGTCACCCGAACTAAAGAACCATGTCGAAGAGAAAGTTCGGATTCAATGGATTTGCTATTAATCGACCGGAAACATACAGCTTCGAGCGAGCGGAAGCTCCCCAGCGCCTCTACGTGCCGCCGTCATCCCGCTCCGGTGGTGGTCACGACAATTACGAAGATACCGACCTGGACAACATCGGTTACGATGATGGGGACGGAGGCGATGCTAAGGAAGACAGCGACGGAGGTGGTGGCCCAGACGAAGATGAAATCGACCCACTAGATGCCTTTATGCAAGGGATTCAAGAAGAAGTGAGGGCAGCGCCACCTCCAAGGCCCAAGGAGAAGTTGGACAAGTATAAAGACGATATAGATGATGATCCAATGGATAGCTTTTTGAAGGCTAAGAAGGATGTTGGGTTGCAACTTGCTGCGGATGCTTTAAATGCTGGATACAACTCAGATGAGGAGGTTTATGCTGCGGCTAAGGCTGTGGATGCTGGTCTGGTAGAGTATGATTCCGATGATAATCCTATAATTATTGACAAGAAAAAGATTGAACCTATTCCCGCTCTGGATCATAGCTCAATTGACTATGAGCCCTTCAACAAGGACTTTTATGAGGAAGACCCCTCTATTTCAGGTATCAGTTTTTATTTGTATCCCTTAAGAATCAGGCCGAAGTGTGATTTTTCCTGCTATCTTTCCATTTTTCTTCCTTCTGCTACAGTAAAACAAATATATGAACCCTATATACTCCCTATAAGAGTACACATTTCATTATTACTCCATATAAAATATTTTAATCAAAGTTTAAGTTTTTTCTTGTATATATTACTCTATCCAGTTATACCTTCAATAGTGGTAGTTTGGTCCAAATATATTCTTGTATAGAGGTTTTACTGGATAATGTTCAATGGAACACCTTGCTTGAATCTAGAATGTACTTGCAAGAAAAAAAAAGAGATTTGCCTCATTTACATATACTTAGTATAAAAATAGTGGATAAGCCACCACAAAATTTAGGAGCAAGTTATATATAATTAGGTGCGAGATTCTAATGCCATTTCTCTATTTGAATGACTTCATTCCGTCACCATTTTACCCTAACCCCCTAAGGCCACCAATCAAACTTAACGAGCATGTAGTGATCTCGTCTAGTGGTCAACTGGTAATGTTAGTGGCTGCTGTCTTTTCTTGGCGGTTTTCTTTTCCAACACATGTAGTTATATACTCCGTATCTATTTTCTTGATGTTATTAGTGTCATTTTTTAATGTAGTGACTAGTGAGTGATTGATTATGTGCATTCTGTGTAGGCATGAGTGAGCAGGAGGTTATCGAATATAGGAATAGCTTGGCTATTCGTGTCTCGGGTTTTGATGTCCCTAGACCTGTAAAGATATTCAAGCATTGTGGGTTTTCTGCTGAGCTTGAGAAAGCAATTTCGAAACAAGCATATGAAAAACCTACTCCAATACAGTGCCAAGCTTTACCAATTGCCCTTTCTGGGAGGGATATCATTGGCATTGCCAAGACCGGTTCTGGCAAGACTGCTGCATTCGTGCTCCCAATGGTTGTGCATATTATGGATCAAGCTGAAGTGGGGAAAGATGAAGGCCCTATTGGAGTAATATGTGCACCCACCAGGGAACTAGCACATCAAATATATGTGGAGGCAAAGAAATTTGCAAAGTCTCATGGCGTTAGAGTTGCTGCTGTTTATGGTGGAATGTCTAAGCTGGAACAGTTTAAGGAATTAAAGGCTGGATGTGAGGTGGTTGTTGCTACTCCCGGGAGATTAATTGATATGATTAAAATGAAGGCTGTGACAATGTTGAGGGCGACTTATCTAGTGCTTGATGAGGCTGACCGAATGTTTGACCTTGGCTTTGAGCCACAGATAAGGTCAATTGTTGGTCAAATCAGGCCAGACCGTCAAACTTTGCTATTTTCAGCAACTATGCCACGCAAAGTTGAAAAGCTAGCGAGGGAAATTCTTTCTGATCCTGTACGAGTCACAGTCGGCGAGATTGGGATGGCAAACGAAGATATCACACAAATGGTTCAAGTATTGCATTCTGATGCTGAAAAGTTGCCTTGGCTTTTTGAGAAGCTTCCTGGACTGATTGATGATGGTGACGTTCTTGTGTTTGCTTCCAAAAAAGCTACAGTGGATGATATAGAATCACAACTGTCTGAAAGGGGGTTTAAAGTCACAGCTCTTCATGGTGACAAGGATCAGTCATCTCGTATGGAGATACTGCAGAAATTTAAAGCTGGAACATATCATGTGCTTATTGCTACTGATGTTGCTGCCCGTGGTCTTGACATCAAGTCAATTAAGTCAGTGGTAAATTTTGATGTTGCTAAAGACATGGATATGCACGTGCATAGAATTGGGAGAACAGGCCGTGCTGGTGACAAAGATGGGACTGCCTACACTCTTATCACCCAAAAAGAGGCACGGTTTGCGGGAGAGCTAGTCAACAGTTTGATTACCGCCGGTCAAAATGTGTCTGATGAACTCATGGACCTAGCAATGAAGGTACGCTTCATCCTTGTGCAATGCATTTAGTCTCCCTAGTTAATACGGAGTAATAACTTCACTAATTTGTTGAATTAATCAATATGTTGCTCTCTCTTTCCTTGTGAGTTTTTGTAGTTTTGGCTCCCTTCAAAAAAAATGCTTTCCTTTTTCTTTTTCTTTCTAATGATTGACAATTCAAACATTCAGGATGGAAGATTTCGTTCCAAACGTGATGCACGGAAAGGAGGTATGTTACTTGTTGTTTTTTAAAAATGCAGATAATTAACTGAGTAGAAAATTACAGCATGCATCCAAAAATATACTACTTTTACCCATGGACCATCATGAACACTAATTTATTCAAGCTGACAGGTGGAAGGAAGGGGAAAGGAAAAGGTGGGAGTGGTCGAGGTGTGCGTGGTGTGGATTTTGGCCTGGGCATTGGATACAATGCAGAAGCAAGTAATGCTCCTCCCACTGCTTCTAGCCGTACTGCCGCAGTCAATTCCCTTAGGACCGGAATGATGGCACAGTTCAAGAGCAATTTTGTTGCTGCCTCGTCCTCAAATACCCAAAGCCAGGCATTATCAAGTAACAGTTCTTCGGGAATGAACCCTAACAAGAGAATGGCTCTGGCCGGGTTTGTGTCTGGGGGTACTATTGGCGGAGATGCAAACCCTTCTCGGACTGGTTCTGCCACGTCGTCATCATCTGCCATTGGGAATCAGAAATCAAGGGAGGACGCTACTAACCAGTCGAGCTCAGGAAGGTTAGCTGTGCTCTGTGTTCCCTTTCTTTCACTTTTGTTTTCAAATTCTCACAACCGTTATAAAAAAATTTTTTAATTTTATTTTTTGCAGCTCAAGAGATAGACAGAGAGAAAGGAGGAGGCCTTCTGGTTGGGACAATTGATTTGTTTTGTTTTTTGAATACTGCTCTGTTAATTTCAGCAGGCTCATTCACATACAACTCAAACTGGATGATTGAGATGACCAGACTCAGTTTGTGTAGGTGTGACCCCTCCTCCTCCTCCTCCGGTCCTCCCCCCTCGATCATTGTCTGTAATGATATTTGGTTCTTCTCTGGCTTGGTTCATGTGGCCTCTTTAGTGTGTGTGGGTGGGTTGGGGTCATTCATTTTTATTGAACTGTAAAGATGTGTACTATCTCAGTCTATCACAAACTTGCTTAGTTCAACATCCTTCTCCCAAAATCTGAATTCAAATTGTTTTTTGAGTTATTCTATTATACTGTACAACTAACTATTCATCATCATATCATAGTGACAAATGTAAACATGCTCTCATTACTGAAACAAAATTGCTCATTAGATAGAAGCGCCCTCAGTAAACACACATTAGCGTTCACTGTATGTGAAATCAAACATCTCTAAAGCATTTGGGGAGGTTTTTTATTCACTGTGGAAATGTCTATGACATCATGTTATATATGCATATAACATGTTTTTTATATCCATCCACCATATGTTATAAATATAGAGATTTACTTCTTCAAAGACGACACCCATCCAATTTTGGATATTATTGCTATACATAGAAAAAGTTGTTATAGAGATAAAATACACGTAAAACTTTGTTCTAAAAGAAATAAAGATCGAATGGTACTCCCTTCGTCCCTAAATAAGAGTTACGGGAGAAATTACGCTGCAAAATGAAGTGAGTTTTAAATTTTATTTTATTTTACAATTGGTATTAAAAAAATTTAAATATTTAAAAATTACGAGTATGTCAAAAGTCTTAGAGACTACATTACTAGATATGATATGATTATATTATTTACGAGTATCAAATACTCCGTAATCAATAAAATTATACAAATAGACACACGACACTGGTTTTAATACAATGAAATGACTTCTTGAAAAGTTTTTGAAAAATAAATATATTAATATCATTTGTGTATTAATATATAGAATTAAGTAATTGTAAACTTAATTTAATTATTAATCAAATTCATCTGATTTGTATGTAAAAAGTCACATATAACCATTATGCAAGTTGAATCAAAATCTGTTTGCCTAAACTAAACAATTCAAGATCTAAATTGTAAAATAGCTCAAGTAAAATCTTACTCCCTTCCGCCCCAGATTAAATTTTTCATTTGTTTTTTCATAGAGTTTTTAAAAAATAAAATTATTTCATTGAGATTCATGTAGAGAAGAGAGAATCAATGTAACCACTTATTCCATTCCTTTAAATGAATGAGAAGTTTGTTTGTGAGAAATTTTTTTGGGACCTAAGGATTATTTGTTACTCCGTAAAAGGCAGATCAGCCTCGTGAAGCATACAATTTGGAGTATTATGGCACATAAACATCAAAACTGTGACTCGTATCACGTATTCTAGAAGGATACATATATTGCAGTGATATGAGTAGTAAAGTTGATCTAATATGATCAGCACTGTAACAAATCAACCAATCACGGATTTAAAAAGACAAACATCTCATTTGCACACAAGAATTGGCGCTCTCTTCACATCCTTGGGGTGATGTCAATAAGTCTGTAACCATACCAATAGGACTCGGTAACCAAACCAAACACACTGGAAAATTTTGGTGATTCAAGCAAGGCAAACAAGCTCAAGTGGCAACCACATCTTAAAGATTGTCCATGGGTGTGAAACGGATTTCCTTAGATGTTGAAATTCGATGGCCAATGAAAAGAGACGTGCAGAAAGCCACAACAGAAAACAGAAGAGAAAAGGCAGTTGCAGCATCCCATGGATTGCTTACTGCTGCCTCGACAGACTTGGAACCACTAATGCTTGCCATAATGTCCATTGGTATCCAATCGCAGCTAGTTGAGTAATGTGCAGATCCATGCCACGGTTTCCCATCATCGGGGTACCACAGAGCTGCAGAAATCTTACTTGCTTTACCAATTGTGAACTGAACATCCTGCACCACCCCCCAAACAGAACCAATTTGTTTCATATCATTGGATTTCTAGATTTGCCCTATCTAAAATGAAAGAGCTCTGTAAAAAGGCACCAAGAAATGAAAATTGCCCTATTTTCTTTCTTTCTTTTTGCATGCAGAATTCGTTATATAAAAACATCAAAGAATTCCAAGATGAGTGCATAATAAATCGCCTGTGAAAATCAAGTTTACCTGTTGCAGACGGTCCATTGTTGTTAAAGGCCTGGAGAATTCAAAGTAATATGTTCCTGGCTGAGTATTTGATGCATAGGGGCTGTCTTCCTTGACAAAACCTATTTCAAGAGTATACAATCACAAAAAAAATATACTACTCTGTAGTAGAGTATAATGCTACAAGAACTAGACAATAGATGTCCTGTTACAGTATTTTTTTTCTTAAATTAGTAATGACTATATTAAAAAGATTAGCCTATTTACAAATTTTGAAAGCGTGTAGTCATACATTCTCTTAATTATGAATCTCCCTGATATTTCTTCTAGTAGCCACTCTCTGAAGCTCGGATTGTTAAGAACTGCTAAATTTGTGTAGCCTAGTGCTCTAGTAGTTATATGAAAGAAAGTTGAGAACAAGCAAGCAGCGGAAAGAGAAGAAAAAGTTGGTACCAGAGTGACTGGTCAGGCTACTATGCCACCATGCACCTTTCCAATCATTCTGTGCACTAGAATCATTTGCTGATTCAAAGCCAAAACATCAAGAAGCAGCACCAAAACAATCAAAATGTGAAGCAACTTAGCTTGATATAAATGCATATTCCACTCAAAAATGCAAGCATTGCAACTAAATGCAGGTATGAAAAACAAATACATATGTGCATAACTGGAAAATTTACTTTTTTGGACCGCAATTGTGTTTGGTTAATCACTTACTTTGGTCCCACATTGTCAGCTTTTTCTTTCCAAACACTCTTCAATCATGTAACATTAATTGTATTGGGTGATTTGTGTCCTTTGACCTATTACATTCTACATCCAAACATCAAAACACAAAAACATACCACAATTTACCACCCCCCACCGCGGATAAAAAACGAGTAGTTGTGCATACCTCATGGGCCAAAAAGCAGTATATAGAAACACCCAGTCGCACGGCATATTTTTTTTATAGTTCTTCCATAGATAAAAGATGGTGTTTGAGATTGATTTGAAAATGATTCTCAGATTTTTCTTTTGATAGAAGCTTTTTGGAATGCTTAGATTTTTTTTTTCAAGATAATCACTTTTCAAAAAAATTAAGCACACTCAAACACCCTCAAAGCATTAAAGCTCTTAAATGGGAATGTTGAGTCATACCTGTAGGACCAACACCATCTAAGTATCTGCAGTGAGGATTCCATGCATAAAGATCAACCAAGTGACCAAACCTGTTTAGTAGTGGTAAACATAGGCTTAGTTTATTAACTGACAATAACATTACACTAGTCAACATTATTAAGAGGGAGATAGAAGTTACTGGCATTACCTGTCTCCTCCATTTCCTTCGCCATTGTCTACTGGATTGCCTCCATACAGCCGCCCAGGTATGGCATTCCCTATTGAGAAGTGCATTATGTCAACTTCATGGCCATGGCATGTCTTGCTGTTGCAACTATCCGGTTCTTGTTCACACCCACCCATCTTATTATATAAATCTCACAGATTTTAAATCTCATATTCATTTAACACTAGTAAAATACAAAACAACTCCTAGAGCTACTCAGAAAGAGGAAACAGAACAAAGCCAGCAAAATGCGGCTACTCACTCTGTGATATGTTGCATTTTCCCCAACTGCAAACATGAGAGCTACAGAAGGGCATTTCTTATTTTCTCTGTGGCAACAAACACAGCTCTGTTTAGGCTCCATCTTCAAGTCATTAGTCATACCAAAAATAAAAATAAAAAAGAAGAAACAAACCCTATTACAGTGCTAATAATTTTGTTTCTAATTTGCTGCTGTCAAGAACCAATCCAACCAAAGCCAGCAAAGGTTTATATTCTAACAGGCTCAACCATGTCAAGGATTCAAGGAACCAATTCAACCAAAATCAGTAAAGCTCTATTTGGTCCACAGAATTCAGGCAACGGTATTGGAATTGTAGACTTTAATCCCTTTGTTGTTTGGTAACAAAAAAATATGTGGATTTGGAATTGAATTTTAATTTTAAATTTTCCATATGAATTCCAAAAATATGCAGGTTTGGTAGCACAAAACTATGTGGATGTGGATTTGGAATCGTAATACAATTTCATATCAATTCTATATACAATTTTGTGTTACCGAAAAAAGGATTTGGAATTATAATACTCCCTCCGTCCCAAAAAGTTTGTTACGTTTAGAAAAAACTGCGTCCCGTAAAGTCCGTTACATTTCTATTAAAAAACCACTTTTATCCCTTACTTTTTCATACCCTACCTATCACATCGTACCTTTTTCCTAATAATCTACCTATTACATCCTACTTTTACTCATCACATCAAGGGTATTTTTGGAAAATCAATACCAAAATATCTCTCCCTTAATTTTCTAAAAAGTCAAACCGTCCCATTCTTTTTGGGACGGAGGGAGTACAATTCAATATCAGTTCCTTAATTATACCAAACAAAGAATTTGGAATTGAATAAGAATTCAAATTCTATCTAATTTAATTTCATTCAATTTCAATTCAATTCTAATTTTGGATAACAAACGGGGCCTAAAGATTTATATTCTAACAGCTGGGCACGATTCATACCCGTCAGAATAAGCGTAGTTCCCATCAACCTGCAACATGTAGAATACATCTTTCCCGTCGTGCAATGTCTGCAGATATGAATCGAGATCTAGAAAATACAATTGAAATGAAAGAAATTGGTGTCTGATTTGTAGAAATGCGGCAGTGGTGTTGTACCTTGATGGTCATCTTGCCGCCATTGTACGCCTTGTCAGCATCAGGATCCAACGCAGGCAAAAGAGGAAACTGAGAACCATCAACGTCCTTCCAGTCATCGACATGGCCGTCGACGGTGACGACTCCGGGTCTGAATTCCGCCCGGACTCGGATCTCGCCGTGGGATTCGCAACTCCACTCGCCAGACTCTTGGTGAGAGAACACTTGGCCTACGCGAGCTAAGATGAAAAGCGATAGAACCACGAGCGCTCGAAACATGGCTGAGTTACAGGCCAGGAAGACGACGAACACATTCAACAATTCAATGGCTTGGGTAGGAAATTTGGCGCACCAGATTTCTGGATTTGTATCATTCCATTCTTGTACGTAGGAAAGACTGCCAATTTTGACTCTTGTCTACCAGTTCATTAAAAGCAAAAACTAACAACCAAAGCTATTTGTACACAATGAGGGATTGAGGGCGATACTTTGATAGTTACAAAATACTCGGTATTAGTATAACATTTTTTAATCAAATAATCATTTTATATCAATATGAACCATCAAAGTGTCAGTGCACATCTGTGGTGTAGAACTCGAAATACAACTTTAAGTGTATACTTAGCATGGTTGAAAATTCAAACATGTGATTCGATAAATGAGCCTTGATTTCGAACGTCCGAATTGAATTGTATGATTTGAGACAAGTTAAGATCAATTCGGAAATTTTATCTTTCTAAAACAGCACAAGTCAAATTAGAGGTAGATGTGGACACGGGCTGATTACGGTAGCTGCTCAGAACTAGAATCGTGTCCAAGTCTAGTTGGGGGTAATCACTTTGACATATTCCGTAGTTGTAACCCAAATTCATTTTTTACTTGTTAGGACTCTCTTCAAATTTCATAGAAACTAATTTTTCATAATGAGTTTTTATGACAATTAACAAAAACAATGGGTATTCATTTACACATATTTGCTTATTATTAAAATATCAGTTTTCCTGTATGATCAACTTTACATTAAGTACGGTTCAAATGTACCAACTCCGCAATGATTAAAGATATTGGCTTTCTATGGAAAAATAATCACTTGACCACCAACTAGGCATATTTGTAACTTACACGTAAATTTAGATGACTTATTATTTTTTTTATTATTCAACACTATTATTTCACAAAATATGTATAGTAGAATTTAAGGAGAAATAAAAATAATGGACGTAACTACTACAAAAAATTACTATGGTAATGATGATTTGTTGAACTCTTATCTCAAATATCATTATACTAAATTGATACTCCGTATATCACATTGTTGCGTGTAGAAATGAATGACAAATAAATTTACCGCGTAATAAAATAAAGAAGGCCGACCAAAATTTAATTAGCGTCAAGATATGTACTTTTGTTAACTTGATGGATCTAGTGTGTGTGTGTGTGTGTATGTACATTTATATGAATAGTTATTGTACAATAATATATGGAGTATATTTGGAGGAAGCTAATGAAGATATGCATTTACATTAATGAATTACCTCCCAGCGGGATTGACAAATTGAGAAAACACGCCATTACCGTTGTCATCCTCAAACCCATCCTCGCTTTCTAGACTCAATATACTTCTATGCATCGCCAAGAGGCTGTTATGATCCATTGTCGCCGCCCCTCCTTCTTCCTCCTCCGCCTCATTCTCAACGCCCCCTCCTGCCGCCACCGCTGTTGTAGCAGATGATGGTTTTGACGTGGGGTTGTCTTGTTGGTGTTGGAGGGCAAACTCCAAGTTCCACAACACATCTCCCATAGAAGGCCGGTCGGTGCCATGATCACCCAAGCACTTCACCGCAGTGTCTATAAACTTCTTCAGACTCTCTGGTTTGATCTCTCCTTTGATATGCGGATCCACAATGTCTTCCACGGTCCCCTTTCTGTAACAGCTCATCGCCCAATCTGCCAGGCTAACTTGCTCTTTCGGTAGGCTTGGGTTCAATGCTGGCCTTGAACATAGCACTTCGAACAGAACCACCCCGAACGAGTATACGTCCGATTTCTCTGTTAGTTGTTGTCTTCTAAAGTATTCTGGATCCAGGTACCCGAAGCTCCCCTTCACCACTGTGCTCACGTGCCCTTTGTTCATGTCTGGCCCCGTTTTCGACAGTCCGAAATCCGACACTTTTGCCACCCATTTCTCGTCCAGCAAAATATTTGTAGTCTTCACGTCCCTGTTAAAGTTGGTGACTCAAAAAAGTCAAACACAATATTGTCTCCCTCTCAAAAAAAACAATTGGTTTGATTTGTTACAAAGTAAAAAAAAGTAATAAAATTTCACTTTTTTTTGACGGATGAGAGAGTAATGTTGTGGGGGGGAGAGAGAGAGAAAGAGGTGAGGTAGTACCTGTGAATGATGGTGTATTTTGCGCCGGTGTGGAGGTAGTGGAGTCCCCTGGCGGCGCCGATGCAGAGTTCGAGCCTTTGCTTCCAAGGGAGAGAGGTGATCTGTTTGTTGCCTTTGTTGTAAAGATGTTCTCTCAGAGTGCCGCGTCCCATGTAGTCGTAGACCAGTGCCATTTCGTTGTCTTCCTCGCAGAATCCTATGAGGGAGACAAGGTGCCGGTGCCGGAGCTTTGACAGCATCTCGATTTCAGTCTGGAACTCGTTGACCCCCTGCTCCGACGACGGGTTCGACCTCTTGATCGCCACCTTCGTCTCCCCGTCTATCACCCCTTTGTACACCTTCCCGAATCCTCCCACCCCGATCACGTTTGACTCGTCGAAGTTTTTCGTCGCCTGTTTGATCTCCGCCAGGGAGAAGTAACGGCAGTTCGCGGCGGCGTCGGTGGAGATGGTGGCGCAGCTCTGGCTCCCGGACCCTGATTTGCTCCTTGAAGAGGTGTGGGAGTTTCCGTAGATGGGGAGCCAGCTGGTTGAGTCGCCCGGAACTCTCTTCTTTCTGGAGTACGCCACGAAGCAGAGGACGGCGGCGAGGCCCAGCGCGGCGGCGCCTCCGGTGGCTCCTCCTATGACGGCAGAAGTGCTGATCAGGGGTTTTTTCGGAGCGAAGTGAGCTTCCCGGTCCCCTTCCAGCTGGTACTTCTGCATCAAGTCCGACATTGCCGGGTTCGGCGCCGCCAGACTCTTGTCGGCGTTGGAGAGCTTGAATATCTCGATCCCGTTCACGAAGGCGTCGATGTAGTAGGACTGCGCGGTGGAGGAGGGGTGCAGGGCAACCCACATCTGGTCGTCGCCGCCGTCTTTCACATTGATGATGTAATCCCGCACCACCGGGATCCCCAGCCGCTCTGATCCCAGAGCCACCACGTCAATGTTCTGCTCCGCCGTCCGATTGTTCAGGTCGAGGTCGAAGACGATCTGGTTGACCTTAGTCACGTTCTCCATTGTTTCGCACCAATGGAACCTTACAAGGTAGGAGAAATTGACGTCCACCCTGAACACCCACGTCAGGTTATACTTCTCGTTCAAGTTGGCGTCGGGCCCCATGGATCTGTAAGATTTGTAGATGTCGATGGGCGCCACGTAATGCGGCGTGTCGCCGTACTCCGCCGTCTTGTTCCCCTCCACCGTCACCCCGGCCGTCCCGCCGAACACGAATGGGGAATCCTCGAACCAGCCGCGCATCAGCCCGCCGGAGTCGTTCACGGGGAGAACGTATTGGCCGCCGACGTTCAGCCTGTACATCATCTCCATCTGTTTGTCGTCGACGGTCAATGTTTGCTCTGGGAATCCGGCCATGTAAATGGAGCCCAGCCCAAATATGTCCGGGGACTGGATGACTTCGATGGCATTAACGAAGGCAAATGAGCCATGGCCGTCGGTGGGCTTGAACTTGAGCTCCACGGCGGGGACGGAGGTCAGGAGATATTCCTTGACAATGTAGGCCTGAGTGAGGGCCTCCGCCGTAAGAAAGGCGCTGAAATTCTTCAACAGAGTAACGCCGCCGGCGGATACGGAGAAGAAAGATTTTGTTACATCGAACCCCGGGTAGGAAGACGGGTAGAAATAGAGGCGGACCAGAATCCGGTCAGACTGCGCCGCCACGTCGGTGGGGAATTTGTAGGACGCTTCTGATTTGAAGATTCTTGCGGACATGTAGGGAACCAGAGAAGGGAGCGAGGGGTCCTGAACGTCCGCTTTGACCGCCACTCCCCTGTCTCCGGCGGATCCCAGATACTTGTCGTCGGGATCCCATTTCCGGCCCTCGTCGTCGTTGCCGGAGGCGGAAGAGCCGCAAGCCAAAAGCAGCGGTTTTGCCCCGTTATTGGCGGCGAACAGAGTGCCAAAGAGGGAGACAATGCAGGCGAAAACCAGCTGAGAATGCCACAAAGGAGGAACGGGTCTCTGCTGCATGGTTGCCGCAAGGTATGATGGAATCAATTTATGGCGTACAGGAATAGAATGGAAATGGCGGCGGCCTGTACGCCAGCCAACGCAGGAGAGAAAAAAGAAGAAGAAGAAAAGAAACTCTTTCTTTTTCTTCTCCTCCTCCAAGGCTGGATCTTTATATTATTACCAATTTGTATTAGACTTGTTTGATTTGGTGTCAAGATCCATGGAGGTAATTTAGATATGACAGAGACGACGGGGAAAGAATTGATTGTTTCTGACGTTTTTCAAATGTAGGCTTGAATGAATTGTGAATTGTTGGCCAATAGGTGCCTGAATCTGGGGGGGGCTTTCATGCCGTTACAAAATGTGTGGAAATGAGGGTCACACATTCCTTCAAAACAACATTGAGGCACACGCGTTAAAAGAAAATACTCCTTTATTTTAATTCCATTAAACAAATACATGAAGTGCGAAATCAATAAATAAAAAATGTGAAATTTGCAGTAAATAGGATAAAAATATAAGTCATTTTCCAATGTAAGACTTAAATTTTCTTATTCCCCAAATATGACTTAATAATGTCTAGTAAGAAGAATAATGTTCAAGTGATGCTGAACATTTAGTTGAATAATGATTAATAGATAATGACCAATGATCTTACATTGGGAAATACCGCGAAGTAAAAACATATGATCCTGATGGTGTAAATTACTTGACCGGTCAAACTATACTAGACCGGGTCTAGAATAGTTGGCTTGATTCAGTAAAGTAAAGAAAGTAAAAACACTCAGAATGACCGGTAGGACTTTAGGTGGAACACCTGTAGCCCGAATTATAATAAAATAGAGAATGCACGGTCACTTTTACAAGGGAGTCTAGAGAGAGTGAATTCGGATCCCCCTTTCTGAGGTTTACATGAGTATTTATACTAGGCTAAAGGGGGGGACAAGGCCACGTGCGCCCACGTGGGGGCACGCTGCTGATGTGCTGCGAGGTGACTGGTTCTGCACTGCCTTGTCATCTTGCGTGGGGGGTTGCGCCTTTGTCGCGTTCTGGTTCGGAAATATTCCTCCAGCATCTCTGCAACGCCAACCACTACAGTCCAAGCCTCTCTTGGATTCTTCCTGCCGACGCTCTCCGATCTTCGGAAACCAGACCGGGTGATCCCTGAGGGTTGGTTTGGCTAACTTCGGAGGATGAATTTAGGTGATGGAGTAGTTTGACCGGTATACTAACCCGAAATGTACCGGTCAATTTTCTGGTCAACCAGCCATCCCTTTGCTGGCGATTCAGATCTCCCTTTCAAGTTCGACTTCTTTGACCGGTCAACTTTCTGACTCGGACCCTTGACCGGTCATGGGTGAAATACACCCATCAGATCCTATATTGAAAAAGTCATTATGCTTTAGTCTTATTTAGGTAAATTACTCATAAAAAATCTTCCTATATAACAATAAAAAATAATGCAAGTACTAAAATCAAATTTTAAATTTTTTAAGACCAACATAAAAGTGTAATGACAGTATGATATAAGAATATTGATGATATGATTAAAATGTGAAGAGAGTCTAATATAAAAATGTGATCAATAACCGAAAGTAGACTACCGGTCAACGTCAGCAACCGGAGATGACACTCTGGAGGCTGGTGGTGATGAATGACACTGTAATAGTGGTAGTGTGGTAATTGCGATGAGACGAAGAAACGTGTATGACAGTGTAACCATGTCACTGTAAACTCTTATTTTGGTATAAGAAAATTTAGGAATTTTATTTTGATATTTTCATATTTTTTATTTGACGTGACCTATTTTGGTAAAAAATTATGAACTTGATCTCAATCTGAAGAAAACTTTGATATAAATAAATCTTGGCATAAATTTTGACATGAATAATCAAGATGTTGTATTAGAGATCATGTCAAATGAAGGTATTAAATAAGAGTAATTTACATAAATAGGACTAAAACATAATGACTTTCTCAATATAGGACCATATGTTTTTATTTTCCAATGTAGGACTATTGGTCATTATTCAACTAAATGTCCAACAATACTTGGACATTATTGTTCTCACTAGTCATTATTAAGTCTTATTTAGGGAATAAAAAATTTAAGTCCTATATATTGAGAAATGACTTATGTTTTAGTCTTATTCAGTGCAAATTTCACATTAAATAAGTTGAAAAAAGAATGTAAGAGAATAGGGCCTAAGAGCAGCTCCAATGCGTAGTGTATATTGTAAAATATACGGAGTGCCATTCATGCAATATCATCTTCATTTTGTTGCCGTGGTGTGAAATGTGCAAATTAAAGGGTAAAACGCACTATGGTGCAAAAAGCCATCCTCACCTTCTATAGTGAACACTACCCCCGTCTCCCAGTATTTGTCAAGTTTTATTTTTTTCAGTCAATTACTTTCAATCTTTAATTTATAATTAGATAAAATATATACTGTATATTAATTATATAAAATAATATTTTAAAAATATATTATATAATATTTCAATAAAACTATCTTTGCAACAATATCTAATATCATTTTTATTTAATTTAAGATTAAAATTTACAAATTTTGATTGAAAAAGTCAAATGTAGACAAACATGGTTATACACACAATAAATGTGGTCATAATTAAATTGTGAATTAATAACAATTATTAAGAATAAAGAATTTAAAATAATGAAATACGGAGTATTATAAAAGTGTATTTGTAGAAGATATGATTGGATGAAATATAAAAAAAATGAATGTGTAAAAGTGTTGATATGTAAAATACTCCCTAACTTTGACACCACCATACTCCCTCATCTCTAAATATATCTTATATTACTTTTTCAGGAGTCGCGAGAACTTTTATTTATTTCTACGTTTTCATTAGTTATTTGATAAAATAAAATATTATTGACACTTCTTATTTTGAAGGACTTTTCATGTAGTGTTTTGATCGGTAAATTTTATTTTTTATTTCTATTCGAATATATCCTACGAAATACTGTATGGCTTGTAGATGCACTAATATGGGGCATATGGCTAGCCAATTGGAGTCTCTCAAAATTAATTAAAATAAAAATTGAAAAATGCCCTGCAATTTGTTTGATTGGCTCCAATAACTACTCTCTCACTGGTCACCAGACACACACCAGCTGCTGTTGACTGTTGAGGGAGAAGGATAATATAACCTGGATAAGCAATCCTCAACCTTTCCCTATTTTCCATCTCTCTCTTTCAATCTCTACGGAGGAGTATCTCTTTGTGTATCCATTACTCCGTTTGTTTCCAATTGGAAGAGCCCGCGGCATCAAAATAATAATGGCCTCCTCAACTCCCCCGCCGCACTGCGCTCTCACCACCTCTAAACCCTATCGAAACCATCACCTCCACCCCCAGAACAACCACCAACCCAATCGCCGCTACCCCAACCACCACCACCACCACCACCGCCAATGGACCGCCTCTCACAAAGTCTCTTTAACTCGTCCCCCCCACCCAAGAAACCCCGCCTCCCCTTTCCCTCCCTTCTCCTCCCAGGAACTCGGCTCAGACTTCTCCGGCCGCCGCTCTACCCGCTTCGTCTCCAAAATGCACTTCGGCCGACCCAAGGCTACAGGCTTTGCCAGCCGCCACTCCCCCTTTGCGGACGAAGCTCTGGAGGAGGCGCTCAGCTGTGCGGGCGATGACTCTGCGTTGGACAGTCTGTTACTGTCTTTCCAGCCCAAGCTCTGCCGCACTGAGGACTACACGTTCTTGCTCAGAGAGCTTGGAAACCGTGGCCATTGCTCGATGGCACTGAGATGCTTCGATTTCGCTCTTCGCCGGGAAAGAAAGCGCAACGAACAAGGTAAGCTAGCCAGCTCAATGATTAGTACTCTTGGGAGACTTGGGAAAGTTGATTTGGCGGAGCAGGTGTTTGAAAATGCCTTAAAGGAGGGGTATGGCAACACCGTGTATGCCTATTCTGCTTTGATAAGTGCTTACGCCAAGAGTGGGTTCTGCCGTGATGCCATTAGGGCATTTGAGTCTATGAAAGACTCCGGCTTGAAACCAAATTTAGTAACTTATAACGCTTTGATTGATGCCTGTGGCAAGGGAGGTGCTGATTTCAAAAGGGCTTTGGAGATTTTTGATGAATTGTTAAGAAATGGGGTTCAGCCTGATAGGATAACCTATAACTCACTGCTTGCTGTCTGCAGCGGCGCGGGGCTGTGGGAAACCGCCAGGAGTCTGTTTGATGAGATGATTTATAGAGGAATCGAACAGGACATTTACACGTACAACACACTCCTGGATGCTGCTTGCAACGTGGGGCAAGTTGATGTTGCTCTGGAGATCATGTCTGAGATGCCTGCAAAGAACATTTTCCCGAATGAGGTGACTTACAGCACCATGATTCGAGGGTGTGCTAAGGTGGGAAAATTTGACAGAGCAGTGAGCTTGTTTAAGGAAATGAAGAGCGTGGGCATAAAGGCAGACAGAGTGTCTTATAACAATTTACTTGCTATATACGCAAGCCTTGGCAGGTTCGACGACGCATTGGATGTGAGTAAGGAGATGGAGGGTATGGGTATAAGGAAGGATGTGGTCACTTACAATGCCCTCCTGGATGGGTTTGGGAAGCAAGGGATGTACGATAAGGTCAAGGCCTTCTTTGCCAAAATGAAGGAAGATAATCTTTCCCCAAACTTGCTTACATACTCCATACTCATTAGCGTTTACTTCAAAGAAGGTTTATATCAGGAGGCAGCGGAGCTTTATAAGGATTTCAAGCAAAGAAACCTGAAAGCAGATGTCGTTTTCTATAGTAAACTTATCGATGCGCTGTGTAAGAAAGGTCTTATAGAGTCCGCATCGTTCTTGATCGATGAGATGATGAAGGAGGGGATACTACCGAACGTTGTTACCTATAATTCTATAATCAATGCATTTGGTTTGGGATCAAGCATCGAGGGTTCATCCAATGTTTCTGACACAGGGATTTGTAGGGAAGATGAGACGAGGAGGATGTGGGAGGATGGAGAGGGAGATGGCATCGTTATGGTCTTTGAGCAGTTAGCTTCCGGGAAATGTCTCGAAATGAGGAACCAGAACACCTACAAACAGGACTTGCTTTGTGTGCTGGGAATTTTCCACAAGATGCACGAATTGGACATAAAACCTAATGTTGTCACCTTTTCTGCAATCTTGAATGCTTGCAGGTATTTTTAGTGTTAGTACTACTATTACTACCGGTTGTTACATTAGTACTGCTATATATTACTCTCCTTACATTTACCAACTCCCTTTGGAGGTGCAGCCGCTGTAGTTCATTTGAAGAGGCGTCATTGTTGTTGGAGGAACTCGGTATGTTTGACAACCACGTTTATGGAGTGGCACACGGGCTACTAATGGGGCAGGGTGAAGGTGTTTGGGTGAAAGCTGTGTCTCTTTTTGATGAGGTGAAGCAGATGGATTCCTCAACTGCTTCTGCCTTCTACAATGCTTTGACAGACATGCTGTGGCATTTTGGTCAGGTATCATATATCACACCGAAAATGTGACCAACTTACTCCTCTTTGACAGCTAGCTCTCTACTCAGTCTTGTTTGTTACGCAGAGACGGGGGGCGCAGCTGGTGGTTCTAGAAGGCAAGCGCCGGAACGTGTGGGGAAACACGTGGTCCAATTCATGCTTGGATCTGCATTTGATGTCGTCGGGTGCTGCACGTGCCATGGTGCACGCATGGCTGCTCAGCATACGGAGTGTTGTTTTTGAAGGCCGTGAGCTACCCAAGTGGTTGAGGTACACACACACACACACACACACTACAACTGCAGTCTCTTTTAGTACAATGCTAAACTCCATTGGATTTCCTGAGTCTAATTCATGCAAATAATGTGGTGAAATACAGCATATTGACGGGGTGGGGAAAACACAGCAAGGTAATGGGAGACGGGACACTGAAGCGTGCAGTAGAGGCGCTGCTGGAGAGCATTGGGGCTCCGTTTGAGATAGCCAAAAGTAATATGGGGAGGTTTGTTTCATCGGGGGCTGTGGTGGCGTCCTGGCTGAAGGAATCAGCCACACTCAACCTACTGCTTCTTCATGATCACAGTACCACTACTACTGCTACTACTGCTACTACTACTCATCATCATCATCATCATCATCATCATCATCCAGATGGGAAATCACTAGTGGCAGCATGATGGTTGATGAGAAAGAAGAAGAAGAAGAAACACTAACTGCTTTCCCTGTTGTGGGTTGTATCATTCATTATCAGTCAGGCTTTTTGTTCATATGTAACCATAGTCCGTATAGCATTACTATTATTACGGAGTAGTATATANGTGGAAGCAGGTCTCTTGGCGAAATACTCACTCTGTATTTTATTGTTTTGAAAGCGGGGTGTAGTATTGTTGTTATTATTAGACCGGTTGCAGCGACTTTGGCAGCTCTTATCTGCCGTTTTGATGTTCAGTCTAATGCAATTGCAATGACCACAAATGTATATGTGTATGTAAATATGTGTGTTTTTATTGGATTTGTAAGAGTTTGGAGGTTGGATTCATTTCCTTCATGGGGTTAACTTTGCATAACTTTTAAAAGTGAAACTTATTTCTTAACCAACGTTTTGTAGAGGTCAAAATAGGGCTAGGATTGAGGTTAAGCTAGTGCACACTGGGTTTACAGGTCCAATCTGAAGCCTAAAGTTCCAACTAAAACTAGTATGCGCGGAGCATCTTGAACTTAGAAAAAAAATATTGACGCTATTGAAACTTCAAAAACAAATTTTTGCATCTGCCAAATGGGTGAGGTTTAAGACACCCGGGACGCCCAAATTTGAAGGCTCTCCTGTTTGCTTTTTACAGCAGGAGAACACATATATTGTTTTAAAGTGCTGTGTTTAAAAGCTTCTGCTTGAAGTGGTTGGTTCAAGCACCTACACTGGCCCGAGTTATTCATTTTATTTTTACCCCCATCAAACTTTGTACGCAGTCTTTTCATCTACATACTGATCAAACAAGCTTGGGTTTCTTCTCCCTCCTTATTTGAACTGGTCAAAGTATATAGAGGGGTTATTACACTCCATACTAAGGGAAGAAACATCGATAAAAATAGGAGCAAAGAGTGAGGCAAAGAAAAGTTGATGTTGGAAGCATTTTCAGATCTCAGACTAAGGCAAGAAAAAGGCTTACACTCACCCAAATCTCGACCTCAATATTTCTTGCCTCCAAATCTTGGGAGAAAAAAAGGGGTGGATGCAAAATTGGATAGAGCATCAATTTTTTCTCTATAGAAAGGAATGATTAATACAAAGGGAGGGATGCCGGGCCCCTAGTTACACCCATAGACACCGCATTTCTTGCACGACCCAATGACAACAAGAGGGATTCTTACACGAGGCAAAACGAGTATATATTTGGGAATTCAACAACAAAAATGATTCTTCGATTTCCCGTATAGAATTTAAAAAAAAAAGAAGCTTTCTTTACTTCATAGAGCAGTTCATACTTCACAGAGGCCCAACCATCCTCCAATGCAGCAGTAAAACAAAAATAAAAAAATGACAAAACAACCATGTTTGCCTTAGCACGTTTAGATACTCCTGTATTAACCAGGTCTGTGGGCAAATAGATTTATCCCAGCCCATATATGCATCACTTTTTATGGCAACACCACTGAACCATCATTCATGATACAGATGGAAACTGAATCACTTCTTAGTTCCTCTTGAAGTCGATGATGCCAAAAGCTTTTGCCCTCCACCATTTCGCCAAACCCCACGCACTGGTAAACCTTCAGGAGAATTGCTCTCTTCACCAGATGGCATCTGTTTTACATACAGATCTGGATCAGAAATTGAATTTTTGAGATTTGAGTGTGATTCCACAAACTCATCACCTAGGCGGGCCCTTAGGAACTTTGATGTTTTCTTTTTTTGCTTATTTTTGCTATGGCCCTCCCCTAGAGTATGATCTGATCCACCACCACCTAACACGCTGCTTTGGTCCTTTAGTCTTAAAGCTTCAGAATGTGGCATCAATTCTTTCTCTAATGATGTTGCTTTAGATTTTCCTTTAGAAGAAGCACGGTAGCCATCTTTTAACAGCACTTCTACTCTATCCTCTGATGGCCTGTAGCTTGACTGCAGATTCTTAACAGTGTGCATGATGCTATCTGCTAACTTGATCTTTGGTGTATTATTATTGTCTCCAGCATCTATGGATTTACCCTTGCCTTTCTTAGAAACACTGCTATCCTTTGTTTCACTGTCACTCTGTCCTGAACCCGTGCGCCTAAAGTTCACATTATATGTATCAATCAGCTCATTCTGCTTCTGAATGTCAGGGCAAAGTCTAGCCAACTCATACACCAGATGAAGCAAGCCAAACTGATCCACATTAGCTAGATACGTTTCTGCATTGATTAAACCTCTGCGGTATTCACCTGATATGTCCTTAAATGCAGAATATTTATCTTCATCAAAACTCAGAGAAGAACGAATCCTTTCTACCAGAGATTTGTTTGCAGTGTGAATATCTCCTATTCCCGTTGTGGTGGGCTGAGAACTTGCAGGCAACTTGAGTGTCTGCGATGAAACTGGTGGGAAATTGGAAGAGTCAAAAGATTGACTTTCAACACGGTTTGGAGCTGATGTGCTATGGGGGATTCTAGTGGTGCCAGCCCAATTCCTTGATGAACTTGAGGAACCTGCAGAAGTATTTTCACTAACTACAGCAGATCGAGTCTGACTTGGAAATGAGGGTATATGCCGAACAGAAGTTGATGTTGACCCAAAAGAACTGCATACTGCAGGCCAAGCATGTTGATGGCTGATCATTGATGAACCATTGCCATCTGCTGGCTTGCTTTGGCCAGAACAAGATGCTGATGATTCCGAAACACTTCTGACCACAGGCCAGGCGTGATGCATATTGATTGCAGATGGTGCAGTGTGACTTGCTGAACCAGACGCAGAAGCAGTTTTGCTGCTCTGCCTTCCAGTTGGTGCAGCGTGACTGGGTCTACTCGAAGCAGAACCCAAACCGAGGATATTCTCAGTTTTGTTGCTCTGCCTGCGGAGACGTGCAGCCATAGTATTCTTTTGTGAAGACTCAGCTTGAATCGGCTGTTGAGTACTAGGAGCAATCGGAAGAGGCGGAAAAGAAGATTCTTCAAGCGTATTACTTGATTGCTGGGAAACAGCTTTACGGTACCTCGATGATAACTCGGGGCCTGATGTGGCTATTGATTCAAATTGGGAAATGAGTGGATCAAAATCAGTTTCTTCAGCATGATCAGAGATCACCGTCCTCCTGCTGGAAGATGAAGCATCTTGAGATCTACCTTCTGAATTAGCCGTCTCCAAACTGGCTTCGATGGCCATGGATAGTTCAGTTTCAGAAGCATCCCGTCTGAACATACGTCCTCTTCCCCGGTGACCATCTTGTTCGTTACTGCGGCGATACCGAAAGCTCGTAGGTATCTGTGGAAATAGCAAACAACTATGATGTCTATAACAAACAAACTAAAATGTTCAAGGGCCCAAAGTAAAAGAAAATAAACATTGTGACAGAACATTTTATTTGAAATTGTATTCTCAATGGGAAAAAAAACTTGCCTGGAGAGCAGCATTTCGTTTGGAACGGGACATGCGGCCACCGTGTTCTAAGGCATTGTGCCTCTGAAAATGAACAGGAAAGTAAGGGCACTGGCTGAAGTTATAGGTCTTCATAACTCATATCAAGATATAAGTGGAAAGCTTCATGAACATATAATCGCTATTTTCAGTTCTAATGTGTTGATGATCTCGCTTAACATTATTTCAACTAGACAAATGTCTAGATGTCTACTGACCTTTAATTCAGCTTCGGACAGAAACACAATAAATTTCTTTACAAGGCATGCCTCATCCTCACATAAAAAATGATTACCACGGAAATGGATCTGGAATAAAAGACACCAGTTACAAAATAAATTGATGTTTAGAGTACTAGTGGAGAATATGATATCATAGCAAAAAAGGAAGTACTTCCAGATCATCGTAGTTTTTGTAGTACTCATATTGCCCAGGATGCTGCCTACAAAAGAATATTGATAGTATAAATGCCATGAACCATAACTGCAATACCCCAACAAATTATACTTGTAATGACTTTGATTAAAGTACACCTTTGACATAAATGACATGTATAGTGTTCAGTGGACATGTGTAAATACAGCTCATTGTCTCCATAAAAAGGGGTTCTACAAAATTCACACATCGGATGCCCCGTGAAGCCACCTCTTTCACTCTCAGTTCCATCCACCTCAGAGTCTCCAGTGTTCACATGCTGATTGAGTTGCGCTCTATTATATAGTTTTTGCTCACAAATAAATATCTGCAATTGAAAAGAATAATCAATGTTCTAGATGAAACATGTTGGAAATTATACATTACCAAAAGCACAATCATGTCAGATATGATGTGTTCATTTATGTTTCAACATGGTGGTAAAGATCACTAAAGCAATGTGATAGTTCCTAATTAACAAAATTAATCAAACAACATCACTTTGCTGGCATCATCACAGCACGCACACATAGTTGCTGCCAAATACTTTGAAATTCAAAGTTATCATAAATATAGAAAGGGGATGTATATCTTTTTCAATGGGAAAGTGGTGTGATTATCCTAGAGTAGACATTTTCATTATGTTAAAATCCAATTTCACAGATAAAATTGAATAATCAACTAAAATCAACAACCACAAGAAACCCAGTAAAATCTCAAGGAATGGATTTGGGGGATGGTGAGTTTATGTAGGCCTTACCCCTATGTGGGTTGTACAGAGGCTATTTCCAAGAGACTCCCGATTTAAAACAAAAGGAACACAGAAAAACAAACTATAATAGGCAAGACAGGGAGAGGAGCCCAAAAAAAGCAAGCACACACGGAGATACAATGAACTAATGCGGCATGTCCTACACAGGTTAGAGCACTGCCCAAAAGCTTATCCTACCACCCTAATCCTAGACCACACACTCCTATCTAGGGTCATAATCAACCAAATAGTGGCATTTTAATCTATGGGTTTGCATAGTTTAAACAGTCTTGCTTCCTGGACACAATATTAAAGTAATGATTACCGAAACCCACAAGCAATCCATTTGCATGTTTGTGTTACTTGATTTTATAAAGTATTATATTGCCAGTAATACTACGGGGTATGTTATATGTAGTAGGTAAACGTTGAGAGTTCAAAATGACATATTGAGTAAAGTGACCATTAAGCTGTTGAATATAGAAATATAGAATTAGTTCCTGCTTGGAAATAAGTTACAGCATTACAAAGACAAAGACATAAAATAGATAGAAAAATAAAAAGTAATAGACAATTCATGACTAGTACCTTTCTTCCTTCCAAGCATAAGCTGCACATTAACAGTCTGTGCTGGTGGAACAAATGCCCTTTCAACTGCTCAATATTCCGGAATTTCCCCCTTCTCCTCGGGCCTTCACTGGCTTGCTCGATATTATCGCACACACTGCATGACAGCCTACACATGGCTCTGATCATCTTGTAGTGATCCGAGTCATCAAAAAATGCTTGTGTATCTTCATGATACCAGTATGACCCCATCCGACCTTCTTTTGGCTCATGTGGGAAGCTTGAAAAGTCAATTATGTTTCGAGTGTAATCTCCAAGAGCCTGCAATATGGTATATTAAATTACAACTAAGGATGCAATTGCATGAACAAAACAGAGTCATTGGTGCCCATGCTGTTGGAGCTTGGAATACATAAACTGCCCGGTGCAAACAATTAAAAAAGCATTTAAATTTAGTTCCCTCAGCATTTAAAGAAAAATCAGCATAAACAAAATGCCAGTGACAGCATCCACAAAACCATGATTTGAAAGTCAATATACAGAAATTGGATTCAACCTTGGTGACAAAAACAAGGCTGTTTTCGGTCTTGCAGATACAGCATCGACGATCGTCGCAGATAAAGCGGAGGCGGGCGACGCAGGTGGAACAAACATCTTTGTGACCGCAAGCACCGTAAGCAACCCATTCCAGATTCTCCGCACACACAGCACAGCTATCATCCATCGCTTCCGATCAGTTTCAGAATCGTTGATCTAGGGTTCCGACTTTATGGCCACCGACCGGACAGGAACTGGAGATACGAATGAGGCGACGAAAAATATCGCAACTCGTAAACTCAATGGTCACAGCTTGATTCGACGATATATGTTTCGATGAAAGTTTACGGCGCAATTAATTTACACAAGAAATCTACCACGAATTAATTCACACAATTTAATTTTAAATAAAATGATACTCACTTTGTTAAATTTTTGCTCAATGTGAAATTTTTTGTGATTTTTAAAATATTTTGTTGTAATTACTAATTAGTATAGAAATCAATAATAAAAATTATATATTTAAAACTAAATAAAATGTGACAAAAATATTTTATGTTATCAAATTATCAATAAAAACATTTTAAAAAATTAAAGTTCTCAAGAGTATGCAATAGTAAAGACATAAATCATTTTGGGACAGGGGGAGTACGTAAAAAATGAAAAAACGAATGATTAATTATTATCTATTTAATTACTTGCATCTTATTTTGTAAAATTTTAATCATTTTTCATTTTCATCATGTTTTGTTAAACTTTTGAAGAAGTACTTTTATATTATTAGAAAAAATATAATAATTTTTTATGGGAACTAAAAAGGAAAATGTCACGTTTAATGCGTGATGGAGAATAATTCCACGTCGCTAAAAGGACCCACAATAGACCCCACGAGAAGTCCCAGAGAGCTACGTGACAGATAGATGCCTTACTAAGATACGCTCAATATGTCAAGTTGAGCCTAGATGCTTGGCACATTTCAAGTCGAGCACAAGACTCGCCACCTTGGAGCTAAATACAGAAAAAGAACCACTAAATAATTTAAGGAGACAACAATAAGAGAGTAAATAGAGATAGAGCCGTACTCAACACAGAGATCATGCAGCCCACATAGATTTTTGTCACAATATCATGGTCATGTCGGAGCATGGGTTCACTCAGTGGAAGCGTGCCTTTGTCGGACAAGACTCTACATACCAACGACAATATCTTGACGACAAGAGTGTTGGTGGGTATAAACCCATGAAGGCCCAGTCTAACAACCTCCAACCGAGCTTGCAACCTGCAACTTGGATGAATGGGTGGACAACCTCCAAGGTAGACGCGCCACTTGGGTCTGACATCACAAGTGGGATAATGTGACAAGGGCGAGACACCCATGCCAGCAAACCTTACAACACATAGTTCGATCTAACACAAAAATGACTACAAAAGAATTGACGGTGAGATGACTATATTAGAATGCAATGGTATTCCTTTTGTCTCTTATAAGTACTTGTGTAAAGCATCCAAGAAAGTGACGGTGTTTTAGAGAGAAAAAAGAGACTATAAAGAAAAAAAATATGTCAAATATCAAAGTTAAATATAACAATCAGGTTATGAGTGTTCCCATCAATCACTCTTTCAATATCATAGATTCTAAACATCATCTTTAGTCTCATACTTAAATACGAAACACAATAGTAAATCAAACCAAGTATTTTACACCATCAAGTGTCAATTACGATCTATTAATATTTTAATCAATGATTAATAACTTGCATAAGTATCTCTGCCCCTTGTAAATAGATCCAGGGAATAATACTCCTATATTGCACTTTCCTATATTATTGCATTCTCTCATTTTTTACTCTCGTTCATTACTTACTCACACTCAAATTTGACCTCACAACCAACCTACCAGGTGAATGTTGAGAAACAATTCGATGCGGATGAAATATTAAATACTCCTTACACTAGAACAAACTATGTCTATATAGTTAATAAAACCGGTTTTGTTTTATAATTCATTTTATTTAAAGATTAACATATAAATAAAAAATAAAATTTACATAATTAAGAATTATATCAAAAGATCTAAAAACAAGATGTGACAAGAATATTTTATTTTATCAAAGTCAATAAAAAATACAAATCTGTAAAAATTTCTACAATTTTTAAATACTAAAATATGTAAATCATTTAATCATCTTGTACGGGGGAGTGTACTCTGTAGCTTCTTCTTGAAAAAAAAAAGAGGAGTTTTTAAAGGGGACAATAAAAGAAAAGCAGCAGCAGTAGTCAGTAGTGACTTCCAGTTAGCATTCCACCGCTGGGAGGATCGATTGGAATGGCGTCGTCAGTGAAATCCTGGTGTGCTGCACCTCTCAAGTCAATGCCCTCTCGTTTGGGCGACTTCCGCCACTCTTGCTTTCCCGCTCTTGTTGTTGGCCTCTCATCCCCTCCCACCAGTCTCCTTCTCAAAGGACGCCGCCCATTTCCGGCTTCGCATTTCCCGATTGTCAGAGCCCAATCCTCTCCAGGTAAACAAACAAACAAGCC